TCCAAGTATGCCGTTAGCACATCGACAATAATAACTCCCTTGACCTTTGAAAGTACCGGTAATAGGATTACAGGACCGTCGTTTGACGAATCGGAACGGCTACTTCCAACTTATATTTAGAAGTAATCATCCCGTAAAGAAAGGCAGTTCGGAAGCTATTCGGAAGATATTAAACACGGAATATATAAGGATGATCTTTCAGGGAGGTCGAAGATTACGTTCGGCGCTGGTACACCTGAAGGACCCCCTTCCCAAGGATAGGACAAGTAACTGTGTTTATGAAATTAAATGTAAGGACTGTGCACATGTGTACATAGGCCAAACAGCGAGAGAATTGTGCACACGAATTTCGGAGCACAGGAGGCGCAATTCAAGACCACCAAGAAAAGAGTTTGGATACCGAGCAATAGTAAGAGACTTGGCCGTGGATGTGCATGAATTAGACATAGCTCATCAGTTAGACTTTGAAAAGGTAGTGGGCATTAGGTGGGGTATACGATCAACCCCTCAGCGGTTGATTGCCGAGGCGGTGGAAATTGCCAAATCTGACGACTGCGTGAATAAAATGGAGGTGGTAGAACTCCCTAATGCGTGGCGGGCGGTCTTATGCCGGCCAGCCTGACGAGCATCGGTGCGTGGATCAGATTGGAAAGTGCAAACCGACTCCCACTGTCAACACTATGGGCTTATCTGTCAGTGTCATGACCCACAAAGGAGCACCTGGCTATTCCCACTGTGTTTAAACCACCTGAGGTGACATCACGAACTGTTACGGTAATGACATCATGGCTCAAATCTCGGGTAACGCAGTTCTCACCTCTGTTCGCTATAAAATCCCCCCCTAATTGCACACTGATTCACCTGGTCTGACGAAGCCCTTGTGTCGTGGGCGAAACATTACCAAACTACTATACCAACCGATTGTTTCCAAACCTCTCTGAACTCATGACTACTCGATCGGTTCCAAGTACCTTCCAAGAATTTGATACCGGTAATAAGATTACAGGACAGTAGTTTGAGCAATCAGAACGAATACTTCCCTTTTATATACAGAAGTAATCATTGCGTTTTGCCAAACAAATGTGTTGGAAGAATCGAGACAAAGGCTCAGCTAATCTCTCTCCTACGACCGCACGTGACATTGGATGTATGTTATCAACTCCAAAAGAACTGTGCTTACCCACAGTCAAATGTACTGCAAGGTGAGACAACCCTTGCCTAGGGTTAGGTAGACACGGGTCGCACTGCAACCTTTGAGTATTTTGCAGGTGTAGAATATTCGTTGCATCCTTCGTTTTTCTGTGTCTGGTCGTCCGCTGTCAGAAGAGGAGGAATTACCCATCGCACCTTGTGTAGAACGTCTATATGTTGGTACAGCAGCTGGTGATTTTAGACCATACGTACTGTCAACTTCTACTGGTGTATCACTTTATTCTCGCGAACAAGCTGACAAGAGTGGTTCCGTTGGCTCACATCGACCATCCAAGTCGCCGTGTGTAGCAGTCTGGAGATTCCCCCGGATCGCCTGAGTATGTTGTGTAAACTATTAAACAAAAGTACCTTATTGTACTCTTAGAGGATGTTTGCATAATGCTGACATGTATGTTGCATTTGTTTGTCTGACGCAACTCACACGTAAAACACTCACGGCGCCACCGTTGGATTCAACACGCCGCTACATGGCGCGGCGCCTCACATCCTTCGCCTAGCTAACTCGCTTCGTCCGGCGCCAATTTTTTAGCCAATATGCGGGAACACTGTACCACAATACACTTTCGTCCCGTAACCTTCGTGCTTGCACTTTATTCACTGGAAACCATACTTGCCAGTAGACTAACGCGAGTACTTCAAATCTGTTAGTGTGAGTCGACCACTTGCTACAGGCGCCCGGAGAGAGTTTATAGAAATGCCAGGCCGAGTTTTGCGCCCGTTCTGAACTTGCATATACTGCTTCGCACATACTAGACCACGTTTCCGGAATGGACAGCCCTAGTTGCTGATTCTTCCGCAACCGGAGTGTTAAACTGGCTCACGAACTGTTGACATGCGCTAAGATGTACCTGGTTTGTAAGAGAGGTCCAGTTGGTTGTCTCACCTAGTTTGGTCAACATATTGTAGCTTATAAGAGTTCGCCTTGCGTTAGCAGTTTTCACCGGATATTCCGCATGACAGATGTATTCCTAGAGTAAGACGATATGATAGTTGCGGTCGAAGGGCGTTTCGACGATCATCCACTCGATCATCAGTTATTCGTTTCTGAATATCCAATCAAGTATGGAGGCCTAACAGTTTCTCTGAATCTGATGGAATGTACGTGTTACCACATGGCAGGAAACTGGCAAAAGTCTCTTGTAGATCCGCTTGGAACTGTTCTCCAATAGCGTCTTGTGATTCCAAAGCGTACATGTTGAAATCTGCAGTACTAAGGATGTGGCTGTACCACTTGTTTCTCATCCGCCGTAGTACGGATGCCAGGTAGAAGTCCAGTTCAGACGTCGAGGAGTGAGGGCAGTACACGGCTGCCACCAAGCAGATGTCGTCGCCTCTTAAATCTAAACGCACTAAAGGGAGTCCTGTACCATGTTGACCGGGTTCTTTATGAGCTCACATCGGAGGTTACTGTGGAAGGGTAGAGCCACAACTCCACCTTTGCTGGGTGGGTTGTGCCGAACCACTGACATGCCTGGTAGTGAGATTTTGCTGTCACTAATGCCGGGGGTAACCATGTCTCCGTTATACCGATGAAGTCAGAGCTTTCATCTTTGACGAAATCGCAGTTCTTGAAGTTTACTTAGCAGGCCTGGAAAAAAAGTGTGCACACAGAAAAGCAACTTGGATGTCAAAAGCTCTTGATATAGAATAGGTGATGTAGAAGAATCTGTGCCGCCCGACGAGAGGCAGGCGTCTAATGATTATTTTTGGTGATTTACTAAATTCCGATAAGAATGCAATCTGTGTCTGGTCTCACCTGCCCGCGTGATATGTAATCCGGTAAATTTCTCGATAGATAATCGCTGGTCTGAGCGCTATTTTCTGTATCGTAGTTGTGATTCTTGTTAGACGCGGGTGGTGTTGTTACTGGATGTTCGAGTCTTGGTATGAGAATGAGGATGGGATGCGAGCATCTTTAAGAGTGGCGAATGCTTTAGGTATACAACGTCTCTGATAAGGTGTCAGTCATACGTCTGCTGAAAAGTTCTGAGACATGTTACCACTTCGCATGTTTATGATGCTTAGTCCTCAAATATATAATCCAGGCATTACTCTGACGAAAATGTGTACACAAGTTTCAAGCGGATGTCCGATTGTTTGATGAAACCGCTTGGTTGCCTAAACACAACCACAATAAAATATGGAAGATTACATGATGGTAAGACACCCTGAAATATGAAAGCATATCGCTTCCGCAACGTGTTTGCTGCTTCCATAGCTGTTCTAGTTGGATCATCAGTCGTCCGGAGCGGAGGACTTCCCTGCCTCAGATTATGCTGGCCATTGACATGCGTGTATAGCAGTTTGTGGTTAGCTCTTAAAGTTTTAGCATATTCTGCTGATATGCGACTTTTCAGCTCAGAGCATTTGAGTTCAGTGGTTACGACGGCCTACGTAGTTGTCCCATTTATCTTGCTCAGTGACGATCAATACTCTCGCCAGTCTGCGTTGCGTATAGTCATCAATTTTATAGTTCTGTTCCTTAGAAAGCAAACGGTTTTAGGCCCCATTGAAAACCCTTTTTTCTGAGGCATCGGTGACTAGTTGTTTGAAGTTGCTGACGAATTCGAGCCAAGCGACTTCCAGGTGGCTTTCAGCGAGGAACACCCAGGTTGTTGTATTGACGAGCTGGGCGAAACGGTCGTAGAGCGTACTGGTGCGCACCATCTCAGGGTACTGATTGCGATGTACCGCATAGCAAATGAAGTCGAAACTGATGACTGCATGAACATTATGACCCAAAGGGCAGTCTACAACCATTGCATCAAAAATATATTCATCGTTGGTGAACATAAGATCCAGCAAAGATGGTCTATTACCTGTTCTGAAACAAGTGGGCATAATGACATATTTGTAAAGTGAAACACCGCTTATGTGCTCGTGCAGTACTGCTTTGTAACAGAGGTTTCTAAACAGTGTACTTTGAAATCACGCAAAACATATGACGCTTGACCTAGCCGCAGTTCAGCAAGTAGTTCAGTGGACCTGGTACCTTTGTGTGCATGCAGGGAAGTCACTCTTTCAGTAGTGCGTTGGGAGATATGTGTTTTGGGTGACATATTGTGATCACCACTGAAATATCGGTCATTAATCGTTTTTGGATGGTGCGATGACGACCCCATTTATGTCAGATCCAGGGAACCCGTCATCACTTCTTTACTCATCGCTTTCTATCTAACGTATGGGACGTGATTACCAGTTTCATCTGCTAGCTGAGCGATGTTCGAACCAATGTGTGGACGTGGTTCGACTAAATTGCTGCTCTCATGTGTTTGCGGAGAGGGCCTGCTTTGATACGGGGCACGGAATGTAAGCTGGTGCGACCTGTATACCAGAATCATAAAATCCTTGTTGAGATCTGTCTGGATTAAAGTACTACTTTCACAATCATCGGGCCACATCCTTTGTAAGTTGGCATTCTGCGCAGCTTTGTGTCATACTGGCTAGTTTCAATTAGTTTTTTCGTTCTGGATTCCATAGTGAATATTATACAACATTCAAATATTGGCTTTTGTTTTTTCACTAGTGATCAATGACCGGAAATACTCCAAAATAAAGCACATAGGGCCGAGGTTGACGCTGCTGGCCTGAACGCTACTTTGAGAGGGCTGAAAGGCGGATGTACATCCTCGTTTCAAAAGCACAGGTTAACCACCAGTCTGCGTAACAGTGTAAACATGAAAACAGACTACGTTGCTGGAGCAATAGATAATTTCTAAAAGGTGATTATACATGAAACTAGGCACAAAGTTGGCTCTACGACAGTTGCAACACGAACGCTTACTCACTTTAATTAGCATGCCGGTGATCTCGGTGGAACCCTGCCTGCAGGCATAATGTAGGGCTGTTTCATCGTTCCGATCCCTCACGTTCACGTTAGCCCCGAATGCGATGAGACGACGAACTGCCCAGAGTTTTCCGCTCCTAGCCGCCTTCATTAGCGGTGTCTTGTTAGTGATGTCCTGAAACATATAAGCAATGTAACGGCTATCAATTGCCTAAAATAGAGTTTGGATTGCAAACGTAAACGGCATGTTTCACTTTAACTGAACCTATAAGATTGTGCAAACCGCTCCGATTACAAAAGACAAAGACGAGCAGCAAAATAGGTAGTAAACGCTTAGTGTACATGGATGTTAAGTGATACTTTATAGGCACACTTCCCGAAATAAAGCAGTAGCCGGAACTGAGCTGGTGTAACTTACCACCTCCTCGTAAGCAACTGTGCTGGCCTTGAGGATTCTTGGTGGTAAGTAGACCGAGTTCTACGACCAACTGGCAACTTAAACCACCGCGTAACCAATGTGTGCTCTAAAGTGCCTTTCATTTGTTCATAAGTATATGGAAAGTCAACTGCTGTGTGCCATTGAAAGACAACGCGGCACAGCGATATTCTTCCAAGTGCCAAGTGCTGCCTAACTCAAATTGCTTGAGGTGAATCCCGTTGAGATTAGTTAACCACTGGGGGAAATCTACGGTAATCTGTTGAATGGGGTGAAATGTGAGACAAAGATTTCCGTTATACCAATTGTTTATATGACCAAATTGTACGACTTTCCAATTTCGTATATTCTAAGTCGTTCCTACGACGCCGCAAGAAGTAAGGGACGATGTGGGTCGTTTCCATTATCGCTCTTGTTTCCCCTTGCAGGCGTCTCCTCTTTTTCCCTCTGGCCTTATTTGTTCTTCCCTCTCCCATGATTCCTTAGTTGTCTTTTTTACGCCGATCGTTCCCCAGGTGGCTGTGATATAGACACCTAACTGCCTCTGAAGTATTTCTTTTTTGTTGCAGCTCCAATTACGGTCCACTGTAATTACTGAACACGGAAGGGCATAGAAAATCGAACCCGAGAAACATCACCCTGGCCTCATCTCATATTTTCTGGTGAGATCACATCTACACAATTGGGTTTGCTTTAAGGTCGAGTCTTGAAACCACAAAGGCCCACAGCACCGAACCGTTCACTATTCTTAGCTTGTATTCAAACCGAACAGCACTCACCCACGAATACAAAATTATAATTTGAGCCCATTGTGCGCCATAATTAGTGTCGCTTTCAATGGATCGAAAATGTCTTACTTTTGTTCGGTCCCGTTAGAGAATTTAATCGTACTGTGCAGTTGGCGCATCGCATATTTCTCCAAACTTGTATGATTGCCAACTTAAACAAACTGCGCACTAGTTTGTCAACACCGCCGTTTAAGTAAAAGGTTCGGCGGCAAAGTTTCCTCCCATTGACTTCTGTCTGTTATGATATATAGACCACCGTTCCATAGTTGTTAAGGGAAGTTTCTAAGTGTAGCAAGATGGCATGTTGGCTTCATTACACCGATCCAAACGCCAATATTTACTGTGAACCAGCAAAGTATTACATTAAACTAGCTGCAACAAATACAGAAACATCAATTTTTTTATTTGAATTTGTACTTCACTGACTTTGTAAAAATTTACTTGTGTTTTATCGGTGAACACGTAAGTTGTCTGGTTTCATCGTTGTCAAGGTCTGTGAGCAGCACGTGTTTCTGGTGACTGCATCCAGCCTCCGACACAGGCTCCCCTGTGTCGTAGGCAGTAGGATTGACAACTACATTTGGGCTGAGATATTATGTTCCGAAGTGTTAACCCATGCGGCGATGAACCATCGATCATAATTGTTCTTAACAGCCACCAGTATGATGAGAGCAGGCGCACTGTTGTATGAAGCAAGGACGTGACTGGCAGGCGAATAAAGTGCAGTCCAACTATATACAGGATTGCGCCAAAAACCGCCACATGATACAGCTAGCTTAGCTGTAAAACAAACGTAAGAAATGGGAGATGTTAACTTTACAGATCTGAAATCCAGTCGTGCTCAAGTGGACTTCTGAACAGTAGCTGTCTACAGTATGGAGTTCCTCATGTACAACCTCATGCGTCTGCTTTCTGGAATATTCTAGCATACTGACCTACATTACAGTCAAAAGGCGAGTACCAGCTGTCTGTTACATTCGAGATAAAACGAGGCTTGAAAAAGTGTCTCGTTTTCCACCACATATGCGTGACAAAGGTGACCTGTTGTTTCACTGTTGCTAAAAGTTTTACTTCCTGGAAAGTAGACAGCCTGAAGGTTTAGCAGTTTATTTTAAGCTGTCAGCACGAAGGTTTCGAAATCAATAGTGAGTGAAAAAATACCATATGTTCCACCACCGAATTCAGACAATAGACATGAATTCTAGAGAGGGGCCAGAGTGTCGTTAAGTTATAAAACCGTCTTCTCAAAACAGTTTATATGAAAAATAACATTTTATTGGAATTGGTTACTTTTTAGTCATGAAACGCAATTCTGAAACGCAGTAACCTAAGAAAATCAAACTCATCTGAACGCAGAAAAATTAAGGCGTTTGTTTCTAAAAGCGTCACAATTGTTTGCTACGTTTAAGTGCAAAACCTTGGATTACCAAGCGTTGACGAGTGTGGATTCAGTAGGCAAATGACAACATACTATGTAAAACAGCCAGCAGATCACATATCTAAAGTAGTCTTTAACATGATGATACATAGTTTATTCCGTTGCAAACAGACAAACTCACTGGCAATTTAGGTATGAAAATAGTGTTGCACTATACAACAAGGCATTGGCTAGCATCATTTGTAAGTAGTTGTTCGCATGGCTGGACACCTGGATTGACTCTATAGTTAGTCTTAAAGAATATATCTCCTTTACCAACGTTGTTCACACTTCTAACCGCATAGCTTGAGAAGCATACTAATATATTGTATAGATAGTATATATATGATATATACATATACTATATATACTATATATAGTATATATACTACTATAGTATACTATATAGTTGCGAAACAACTATGCCACTCGAAAATGAGTGCTTCACTTATGATGGTGTTATAAAGGACCATGCGGTTAAGTAGTTGCGACATTCAACCCCAACTTCAGTACTTCGGCCGGTTTGTTCCTCAGGAAGTCTTAAGAGCACGTGGGTAAAACGAGCTCCCGAAATGTCAGCATGGTTCATTCAGAATATCTACTGGACGGCATTTGTAAAATCACACACAATGAAAAGTGACCACAGCAGCTTAAGAGATTAGCTATCGGATATCAGTGTATAATTGTTTGTTCACTGTACACATGGGCCATGAGTGGGACACATTCTAGTTGTTAGGTCACAACACCATTCAATCAGGTGGCAGTCAAAGAGAAAAAGGGAGAATATTACGCCGCCTTTTACCTCCAACTCGTAATTAGAGGTAGAAGCTAAGCGGCAAATGGCAGGATGAAGCGAGTCACAACACAGACGGCAGCCAGGTCGGTTCTTCTCCATGTCAACCGATATGCAACCAGACGTGATCACCAGCTTCCGAACCTCAGCTGAGGCATGGAGAGGGACCAACCGAGGTCGACTTCGAATTAAGTACTTTCATTCCTATTGACCAACCCATCCGTTGGCTTCCGCTTTACTTTTTCCATCCAGTCCCCCGTCACGCGAACTACGCACGCCAGGGGATCGGCATGATGGTATGCGTAACGCAAGTCCCAGCCATCGGAGCCTGGTGCGTATTATAACGGTTCAGGCCAGATGTGAGATAAGATGCAGGGACACCTGCAGTCGAACATTGAAGGTCTCTTTACGTCTGTCGTTTTGGTGGTCCATGATTTACAACTGTACAGCAGGGTTGAACGGACGGCTCCTTCGTAAACTCTGCCCTTCAGGGTTACTGTGATGTCGCCCCCGTACTAAGTTGCTCAAAAGTGCCTCAAGCTTTGTCTATATGGTTTGTCACTAGATCTTTTCTTTCACAAGTTCTCATACAGCTGCCTAGGTAGCCTTATTTCTGAAAAACTTCTACTTGATTACCAACGATGGTCGATGCAGGAGGACGTATAAGACAGTCTTTGCGGATAGCTTTGTACTTGGAGATTGGGAAGCACAGTGCGAAGCGTCCGACAACCAGACTTAAGCTGTCTAGTGATGCTTTGAATGTCTGTGAGCTGTCACAAAGTATAAATAAGTACATTGTATATTCCTCGACGATACCGGAACCTTTTCCCTAGAAGGAACAGGTCAAATATTGTTCCCAATTTTCCTGCCCTATCACTAATCATTTTGCAAAAATATGCATGGACGCAAATGTCAAATTTCGTTAAGACAAATTTAGACACATATTTGGATTGTGCCTCGCACCGCCGAGGAATATACCACATATAGAATCGTTGTGATGTACTTTTTCCTGTTGTTGAACCAGGGTTCTTCACCATCAAATGACAGATGGTCGGGCCGAGAAAAAAACGAAATGCAATGATGAGGGCTGTGTTCCAAAATGTTATATGCATGTGCTTTGAAAAGTTATTCAGGCACCATCTATACCATTTTCGCAAGCATTAATTATGGATTTTGATGTCCCGAACAGATTAATCACGTTTTGCGCGATTCACTGCTTACTAATTGCAAGCTTAAAATTACGCAGTGTGCAACATGTTCTGATATCTCTCGAAAGCTTCTTCCAAATCTTTGAGTAATAGCTTAGCAAAAGACTTTCTGACTCTTGCAGTAAATTCTGGAATCAGGATCTTTATTGCTTTGTTACAACTTGGATATCTGCTGTTTAAAGATGTGTGAACGCAAGTATCAAGCTTTCGAATTTGATAGTTTATAAATCTGTAAAGAAAACAGGTTTGGCTTCATTATCCGAAGCCAAAATGGGTCAAATCCAAGTTTATCAAATCGCTATCTGTATGCCATCTTTGAGAAATATCCATATAACTTTCTCGTGAAGCTTCTCTGGACGCTATCAAGAGCATGCTGGTCAGATTGTCGCAGATTAGATTGGACTAATGAACAGCATTCACTGCAGTGCAATACCTATGTTTTGTAAAGTGATATATGAGATTCCTTGAGATAAACATGGTGGCATATGCATCCCATAGTCTTAATGCCCTTCGAAACCTGAAAGTCACAATGT